GCAACGACGCAAAACAAAAAATAAAACAAAAATCCTCGCGCGTCTATTTACGTGATTTGCGAATAAATATCGTGATCATTTTTGAGTTATCGAGCCGTTGAGAGTACTTCGTCTTGCAGCTCCCGTAAAACATCGCGAATCGCGACATTACATCAAGAGTGTGTTAAAATATATCAATATATATATATAGAAATATTTTCCATAATCTATACATCGGCGAGGTATAGAGAATGGAATTTCAATTGAGCAACATTTATATCCCGTCGCTATATACGCGATACACGCATACTTTTTCCGACCGCTCCGCATACGTGCTGTCGACATTAAAATATCAGATAGACGTACGCGACGGCTTTGGTGTGAGGAATTATGCGGTTGATCCGGCGGCTTAAGGTGACGCGCGATCGACAGAATTTGAATTTTCAAATCTTCGCTCGCGTGAAGAACGCGCCCGCGCGTATGTACGCAATGTGCACATCGCGTGGTTACAACAAACTCGCGCGTTTCCCTTTGCCCCGGCTCCCCCACGGTCGTCATTAAACCAACTGCTCTCGAGACAACTGGCGCTGGTTATTTAGCAATACAAATCATTGGCCGAGCGCGCACCTTTCTCCGTCTTTCTCCTCGTTTCTCTCGTTCTGTTCTCGCGAGCGAGAACTTGGAGCGAGTTCTTGCGTGCGCGGGCGTGGTACTGCACGTACCACTTATGCGAGAGAGGCGAATAAAACATACACACGAACACGCGGCGTGTGCATCAGGTATACGAGTCGACAGAGAAACAGTTTTGTTGATTAGAGAGCTTGTTCGAACCGGCTGTATTACTTTGTCGCATCGACCAGGAATGTTCTTAACCGGCTGGTTACAAGTATCTCCTGCCGCGCTGAGAGACGTGTCTATGGGCGATGCGATACCGGATGTTGAGAACAAAAAGAGATTTGAAAAATTACGGAGAATACAAACAGTAAAACAAAATTATATTTGTGAAACAACCGCTTATCTCGCGCTCGCGCACAGAATAGTATATCCAGTCGCTCTCTCGAAACAAACTGTCTTTTGAAGGAGAGTTATACCGGCGATATCGCGCCATCTGAAATTTTCTCGCGACTACCGCGCGCGTGCATAATAATTAATAAACTGAAATAAATCGCGTCCGGCGCAATTTACGATCTCGCCCTCGACGTCATTAATAACGCGCGGGAGCGAATTGTCATCGCGAAAACGGTCTTCTCGGACGCGAGAAACAAGTCGGATAGAGAACCGATAGCAGAAATGCAGCAGAATATTATGACCTTTAAGAAGTGCATTCGGTGATTCAGCCGGGAGCCGCGATAGTCCGTTATCGCCGCGGCTACTCCCGATGTTATCGGCTACGCCGTACTCCCGGCTAATCGGGACAAGCGGGAAAAGGAAAGGAGGAAGAGAGGCAGGGTGCTGACCTCGCTTCCTGAATCGTTCACACCGCCGGCATCTCGTCTCTCGGGGATGGGAGGAAAAAATTGCGCAACCAAATTAAGCAGATAATATCTTTGAATTTCTGCAGTTTGATATCGACTCGTTAAACTAGTAACTAGTAGTTTATTTGTTTTTTTTATTTTTTTTATCGCGTTAGATATTTTTTTATTCGAGTGCAACCGGCGCGACATTTCAACGTTTCAACTCTGACTTTACATAACGCGTGTATTTAAGTAATTGGTTAATTAATTCCAGTCCCCGATCCTAATGAATTCTCGCGCTGATACAAGTCTCTCAATTAATTTACGTGCTTAAATTCTCGAACACGAGCGCGACGGAGAAAGCATCGATTTCTTTTTTTTTTAACATATTTTTATCAGAGTTACGCGTCGCAATGGAAACATGTCGAAGATTTTTATAGATTTTTTAGAATGTGATTCTGATTTAAAAACGTCGAGAAACGAGGGAGGAGGGAGAACCGTACCGTTCAATTATAACACGTCGTGCAAACGAGTATCTAGCGCGAAGACACGTTGATCTTAATAATCGCTTAGACCTCGTGCGCAATTTTGTGCAATTACAGCGTCGCGTGCGTCTCTTGCGTTTGCCTCTTGTCTGCTCTCTCGCGTACGAAACGTGTCACTTGTTGCGTACATCGCGCGGTGGAAAAATTTAAAAACTTTCGAGCGAAAAAGCCACTGCCAATAGATTTCGTGATCACTACTACGGGAAGATACAATCGCAATGTCTGGATATAATGACGTTTACTTTCTGACAAAAATACTGCGCGAGCGCACGTTGTTCGATGTTATTATTCCGGCGAACGATAACGCGATAACGCGAGTTCATCCCGGGTGAGTCTTACTACGAACAGGAGCGAATGCTTCTATCGGCAGTCGAAGAATGCAACCTCACGCTCTCCGCGCGTACTCGCGAGAGCGTACAGGTCCCACTCACGGAGAGCCGCATTATCGTGAGATTACGTAAGCGCCGAGTAGCGCGCGGCATACGATTGCGCTTGTATTACGCTATAATTAGGACTGGCCAGCGTAACCGCACAGACGCGCTTGCAATGTATGTACAACGCGCGCACACATACGTGTGACGTACTTACGGCCGCGCGTAATCCGCGCCGTATTAATAACCAACGATAAACGTTAATGTAACCCCGGGTCTCTCTCCTGAGTCCTCTGGAAGAGTAGCGCGAGCTTCCATGGATGCCGCTGTCTCGACCTCGCAAAGAGGACTTCGCTGCACAACACTAACGCCAATATACTCGATAGCGTAAAAACGTAAAGGCGCTTTGAGAAAGAGAGAAAGAGAAAAAGAGAAGATATTGGCGCTTTGAGAAAGAGAGAGAAAGAGAAGACATTGAATATGAGTTTTCTTTCGCGTGTTAGCAAAATCTAGCTCAGTTTCTCACGAGTCGAGAGCGCTCGCATAGGAATATTTACAATTTTTGCTGTTCTAATTTACGGAGATAGTTCGTTCTCTTATGATTAACGCCATTTGTATCAATTGATCGTAAGATAATTGATAGAAAAACACAAACGACTTCTTTTTTCGAGAAATTTGTTCAAAGAAAAATAGACAAATAAAGTGACGTTCTATTACCTGCAAAACTTGGACGTCATTTGAAACGTAATCTCAATTGCAACAAGGTTTTTTACCCCTTTACTTATGTTTCTTCACTTTGAGGTAATCAATATGATTCAGATATTGAACCAAGTGGTGGATAGTTCGCGCTGCAGGTTACGACGCTTTTTTTTTAACGTTCGCGTAATCGTTTGGTATTAAGGAAAGTAAACTGGTTTGGCGCGTTTGCGCCGAACGAACGTTTGACCGGTGCCCGACTTATCTGTAGCCTCAATCTTGCGAGCGAGATGGAAAAATCGCGGAAAAGTACATTCAGAATGTTAATGCGTTAAAACGCTTTAACGCGCTATTGTGTAGATTTTGATAGTGCGTGCGATCAAAGTGGATTAAAAAAAAAAAAAAAAACAACAAATCTAACAAAGTTCTCGCTAGATTTGTTCCCAACACGTGCGGCGTTTGATTAATATCCACATAATTATGCGCTCTCTGTGGGAGGGAGGTGAACGCGAGAAAGAAGAGAGTTGATCGTCCCTTCGTCTCTCGAGTGTGCAAAGGATGGGGCAAAACTGGAGATGAAGTACTCCCATAAGGAAGTATGGGAAGGAAAAAGAAGAGGAGATGATATAGGAGAAGAAAATACGAAAAGAGACAAGGCGAAGGAAAGAAAGAATGAGAGAGAGAGAGAGAGAGAGAGAGAGCTCCGTGGAGCTGCCGACGGAACGAAATTCTGACAGATTTCATCGTGGGCTGACGTAAACAATTTGCGAATGTAAATACCTGTTGAATATTGAGCGCGCTGGCAGGGCCTACGGGGCCCCCACGTCTGGGGTTCCCCAACACCTATAGCGACCGTTTACCTTTTAAACCTCATGATTACCAGCGAGCGCCGTATCTCCTCCTACCCTACCTACCGCGGCGAGGCGTGTAAGTCATTGGCATAAATTACACGCGAACATCACACGCGTAAGCGATGCCAGGGCATCCTGCTCGCACTTTGGGGATACGAGAGATATCGTGCGAGAGACTATTCGTCTGGTCCGGCGAAGAATAGTGAAGATGGAGAACGATCGGGACATTCTTAACACGCGCGCGCGAGATCCCGTCTCGGGAGAGAAAAAAGAACGAAAGCGCTGTGATACAGAGCGCGTGTGTGTATATTTCGGACGTGTTCGCGCCGCGGGGTTATAACAAGGTTAAGTTCTTTACACGCGAGCACACAGACTTCTTTCGTTATCTTTACATCATCTGTAATAGAGCCTCAGCTCTGTGAATCAAAGATGCGAGCTAATCAAAATCTAATGCAATTTCAATTTAGTAATGAAAAGGTTGGACGAACGATGCGTCATCGTAAATTACGGAGTCTCGTATCATCGCGCGTATCCAATTAACATCTGCACGTTCGGATTCGCATCACCGAAAATCCCCCGCGCGCTTCAGATCGTTGTTTATCGCGTTATGGATTTTAATGTGAAGCTCGACGAAGTGCACGTGTGCGCGCGCGCGCGCGTCTTGTTCGGTTACCGACGGCAATTGAATCGTTTGGTTGATTCCGCATCGCGCGCGGAATCGCGCGACGAGGTAGAGAGATAATTGGTGATCTCTCTCTCTCTCGCGATCGATCTTGAAAACTTATCGATAAGAGCAACATTTCAGAATAACTTTCTCGCTGTTTAATCATTACGATCGTCAATCATAACGGGATAAATGCGTTTCGATAACGGTTCGCAATAAACGCTTATAGTCTGACGGTGTTTATTGTTACGCTCTCGTTTGCATCATGTTTGTTTGTTTTTTTTTATTTTGTTTTCTGCGACCGCTTCATTCCTAATCTCGGCGCTGTGTCAAGGAAAACGTGACGACTTGCACAAAAAATTAAATTGCACTCCCCGTCTTTTTTTCTCCGTCTTGTATGCGCGCGCGCGTGCACGCGCTGTAATCAGAAGCTCACTCACCGTCCTGGTTCATCCCGTGGCCGCCGTCATCTGTTCGAAACAGAAAAAAGAAAAGAGAATTAAGACGTGAAATTGAAATCCGAAGAGATGAGTAACTGAGATTTAATCAGTATCACACACGTAATAACACTCAAATCAACAACGAGAAAATCTAACAGCGCTCTGTATGTGTTTCTCCATTTTATTTATTGGTACATCTCGTTTTAATTAAGACGCAAATCTGATATGACGTCTCTCTGTTAAATATAACAAATAAAATATATCTTAATGCAAAACTGTAAGATATGCTTACGTGTAATATATTTTATATACGTGTGTGTGTATGTGTGTATGTGTGTTTACTTAAGACTGATTATATGTTATTCTGTATCGTTACAAATAAAATATATTATAGAATATGGCGTGGAATTTTAATTCTACTTTCGCGTACGTGTTTATCTTGAGATATAAATCTGTCGCGAGCAGAAGTCCCGCCGTAGGAAGATTTGCTACCTTTCCGATAAAGAATATCGCGAGCAGAGAGACGGTTGCACCTCGCAAAAGGATTTAGCGTTTGCGCGTTTATTGCGGATCATGACGACTCGCAACGCGAGCTCGGCAATGCCAACCTGCACGGCAACCTATTTGTATTGCGGAGGCCTTGTATCGCGCGATCGCGCAATGTTCCTTTATTTAACCCCATAAATAACCGTTGCTATCTCGTCCCGAACGCCGTCCTATACAGGCAAACAAGTATACAGCACGTGCATGCGTTTTCGTCGTACACACATTGCGAAATATATATTATATTGGATTCTCTCGTTCTGTCAATCACACGTTTTGCGCCGTGATGTAATTTTTTATTTTTTTTTTATGAGCGAACTCGAGCGCGCGTGCGCGCGACGGAGAGAATAACTTTCGCGCAAAAGAGATTAAAACTCAGCTGTGTGCGAAGAAATAGTTTCTTTGAGAGAATCTTTATTAAAAAACAATAAAATATCTGTAACCAGTTGTGCGATGGGGTTGTTTGGATTTATATATTTATCAATAACGAGAGAAGAGCGAGAAGAGATCATTTTCTTGATACACAATGTGTCAGATGCGCATGTGTTCCTAAAAAATTGATCCACATTTCTCTCGGTTAAATACGTTGATATCATTAGATTTAACGACCACTGTCTCGAGTGTCTTCTACTCATCTCTCTTCTTGGCTTTATGACTCATGCCGCGTCACTGGCTGCTACCACGGCGGCAGCCTTTTATCTTCCTTAACCAGCCACCACCGTCTCTCTCTTTCTCATCGCGCACACATTCGAGAAAACGAAGACGAAGACGAAGGAAGACAATGAGCTTTCACGTCGGTGCAATCAACCGTTGGTCGGAAGAAACTACCGCTTAGAAGATGATCCCGTCGTGTGTTTCGAAAATATATCCGCGACGATTTTCTAAACCAAACGAGAAACCGAAACGTTTATTCTAAAACAATACCAAGCGTGTGTTCGCTCATGTCACGCGTGTACACGTCCTGCGTTCGAAAACTTGGTTGTTGCGACGAGCGAGAGTTCAGCTAACTCGATTGTTCCGTACGGAACAAGGAACTCTTTCATGTTAGAGTTTCGTTCCGCCGGTCTTCGATGAAGGAATCATTGCTCACGGGTTGTCTCCCGGTACGGTAATGTCGTTGCACCGTTGGATACGTACGTTGATATGGGGATTTAATAAGCTTGCGGTTTATAGCACCGTAATGATGATAAACGACAGGAGATAATTGCGGGATCGAGAATGCGATCTTTTTGCGTTTTCAAGTGTTTAGCTTGTTTCGAGGATATTAATGGTTGCGTGCAGAGAAGCGCGCTCGTGAAACGTGTTTATCAAATTTTTCTGAGAGATACATCGAGAATTAATCTGAATCTTTGTTCTGCGAGTTATCTGGCGGAATACCGCGGCTAACCGTGTCGGAAACGGCGCGATCGGAGGCGCGTTCAACGGATTTTTGAAATCCGGATTGACTCGGCAAACACACGGGATGCACCGTCATCGTGCGCGCGCGGGTCTCGCCAGTAATAGAAACGTCGCCGCGCGCGGACGACAATTTATTGCCCGCGCTTCACGAGGCACGTGCCCGCACTTTTTTGTTCCTGCGACATTCCTATGTGCACCGTGTTCGCACTTTTAATCCTCGCCACGTACTTGATTCTCGCTCGCACGATCACATTGTAACGTATCGCTTTCTCTTCTTGATATCGAGTAATCGCATTAGCGAATGGTAAGCGGAATAATCATCGCTTGAGTTGCGCAATAAGTGAGAAGAAATTTATTGCGGTATCGAACGACACGGTACGTAAAATCAATAACTCGCATCGCAGAAGTTGCGTACGTACTTTTGCATAATATTAAAAAAAAAATATGTAATACAATAAGGAATACATTAGTATTCATATTACTTGTTTCGAACTGTATTAAATTTGTTATAATCGGCGAAATTTGCGTTCACACAAAATCTAATTTTGCTCGATTTTTCCTTGTTTGTTTCTTTTTGGATTGAAGATTTAATATTACGCTCAATATTGCGCCTTAAAGTTCTAACATAATAACAGAAAATGGATTCGTAAGAAGAAACATACGTTTTTTCTTGGAGTCCTCATGCATACCTCCGGGAGTTGCAGCGCTGTGATTGTGATGGTGGAGAGCTAGAGGGTCCTGGGGATGCGAGTGAATGGCGGCTAAGGTACTTCCGGCTGGGTCACCCGGATTGACCCCGACTCCGACCCCCAAGTGTAGGGCACCATGCTGCGTCGCGTGTACCGGAAGCTCCATGCTGATCATAGCACGCCACCCTGCTTCCAACCCTCGTTCCCTACCACCCTCTTTTATCTCGGACAATACCTTTGCCGAGTTAGACGAGGCGTTTGATCGACTCCTCGTTGCCTGGAAAGAAAAAAATACTTGAAAATTAATTTATTTCGATGTAAATTGTAAAATAAAATCGCATTCACGTTGTTTTTTGTTTCTGAGCGTTACGATTCAATATGACTAGTCAAGAAAAAAAAGAGAAGCCACAAGCCTCACTTAACCCACCTGTCTCGTAAAACTCCATCTATTTTTAATTTCAAACTACTTTTTTCTTAATTAATTCAGTTGTGATATTTCGTTGAGAAAATATTTCCTAAAAAAAAAGAAACACTTGAGATTATATCCTCGAGCGACTTTTGTCGTAGCTGGAATTTCTTACAAGGACACAGAAGTGTAGACGCAGACGAGTCTAGGTTTCAGTCGAGGAGCAACGGGCACGGATTTTCGGTCAGTGACTCGCATTCGGATCAATGGTGCAACAATACCGTAGACAAAGTCCCGAGCTGATCTAGGCGTATTACCCGTCGAGAGGCCTCCGTGCGGCGCGGCAGGCCGAACCACAAAAATAAGTCTCGGTGGTCCAACCGCGATGGAATTGCCTTTGCCACGCTTTTTACGCGCGCAGTAGATAATTTCTTCGTTCCCTTCTACGTAATGACCTGGCCGGGGATCTTTTTTGCTTATTACGTCGAGAAGAAGCCGCCGCGGAGAGAGCGACACCGCTAGGTTGGAAGCCTGCGAGAGGCACAAGGTGTAGAATCCTTTTAGATGAATGAAAGGATGAATGGAGTGTATATAAGTTCGTCCACGCTGTTGCTGACGTTTGTCTACAGTTTGAGCGATTATATACAATTTCCCGCGACGCGCATTGCAGCTGCCACGATGAAAAAAAAAAACAGAAATTTATCATCGCTGTCCAACCGCGAAAGGATCCATTTGTCAGATTGTTCTATCGGAAGATAATCGACAATATATAATATTCTATTCTAAAAATCATCCGCTCTAGTTTTTGATTGAAATCAACGCGCAACGTCTCGGCAATGTCTTGAGAAATTCTTTATACATATATGGGTTACTGTGTTCCGCGAAGGCATGCTGTGTATAAAATAAAAAAAAATGAATGCAACTTCTTCCTCTTCCCGCGGACCTCCAGGAGTCCATTACACTGAATTGTAAGATGGAGGAGAGGGAGCAAAAGAGCCGAGGTCTTAGCCGAGAGAGCAACCGTCGAATGCACCAATCGTCATCAGGCGGTCATCCGTGAAATTCGAAACTGCTCCCGCGTTCCGCCGTTTTACATCGCGAAACACGCGGATCTCATAATGCGTGGGAGTGAGACTGGAAACAACGATCATGATCGTTTGCGGTCAACAACTGTTCGCCTCAGCAAAAGTGTTATACATACTTTGTATTCGCGTTGGCGATGATTAAAAAAAAAGACAGGTTCTGGATTTACGTAGCAAAATCGATCGTTTTTTAAGGTCTTTTGCCGAGAGAGAGAGAGAGAGAGAGAGAGAGAGAGAGAGAAAAGTTCTTTATTAAATTCAAAATACTGAGCCTTCGTAGCCTTCATAAGCGGTTGTATTTAAATGTGTGTGTTATCGTATATAAAATAATATAAACTCACAAGCATGTAAGAAATCCAAGTGTTCTTGATTTAATACAAAGAGTTTTTCGAACATGCAATTTACAATTTGTTCGCGCAGTCGAAAAAAAAAGTCAAATCATTCCGGCCGCCTTGATCGCAACGAGAATCGAACGATTTCAGCCGAGTGAGATAGAACAAGAAACAAAGTAGATTTATGAGAGGAAAAACGTTCGGAATTGTGTTCTCAATTTTTCTCTGTAGTTTTCCCTCTCGGCGAGTTCTCTCCTTCATATTGACGGTAAAGCTTATCGTCAAATGAGAGCGCGAGGGATGATTGTTTAGCGTTGCTTCCTAATGGGGCCTGTTTCTCCTCCTCGAGCTCGTGCTACCAGCAGCGACGCGGAATCTTCCGAGGTTGGAATGTAGCGAGGGAATAATACATCGCGAGTAAACGTGAGTAAACGTCGAGTAAGAGGCAGGCGATGATCGTTCGGCGAGGGAGAAACGGTCAACCCGAGTTGGGCCACAAGGCAACCTTAAGTAAAGCAAGATGGGCAAGTCGTGGACGGCCAAAGTACGCGTAAAGACCGGCCTTAGACTCGTCTCTGCGAAACCGTGGGAGTCGGCCATCAGTGTTCTTCCGAGTGATGGGGAACGTGGCCTGTACGCACTCGCTGAAACCATTGTTTACGGCCGCCCTGAATGCTCGCGTACTTTACTAACTGAATCCTCTCATGGGACCCGCCGCGGCGGGACCGCACGCCGAAGCTCTGCCGGAGCGAACGTATAGAAAAAACGTCTCGTTACGTTTATTTAAACATAATACGTTGTCAATTCTTGCTCTAATAAGTGAGCAATGATGTTCGCAATTACAGTTGGCTTCACGTCGAATAATAACCGACGATGTCGAAGTCTGTTAAGGATATTCATTAAGTATGCCTTCTCTGTAATCATCACTTTGAAGAGGAAAGAAACCTAAGGGGGATGATATTCATGTAGACTCTTTTTACGAAAATAAGTAATGATCCAAAAAACATAGTCGCAATTTAACTAAGTCGGAGAAGCGCGCGCGATGCTCCGTAGCGATGTGCAGTAGCTGACGAAACATACAGCTACTTTCCGCACCTTGTGCTTCCACTCTTCTGCCTTCAGTGTCGATTCCCCAACTGACTGGTAATGGCGGTACTCTCGGAGTTTAACAACGCGTGACAATATGCATCAAGGAATTGCTCGAGCGTGGAACAACTCCAACTACGCTTCTCTCTCCTCTCTCTCTCTCTCTCTCTCTCTCTCTCTCTCTCTCTCTCTCTTCTTATTCTCTCTCTATCTATCTATCTCTATCTCGCTCTTCTATCTCTTTCTCTACGTTTTGTGCACGTATACATCTATTCCCAAAGAAGATACGTGCCCTTCGTTGTATGAGTATTTGTGACGGGACAGTGCGAGAGAACCGTGAAACGCGCTCAGCTTCGAACTCTCACGCGAAAACGTCAATACATTATGCAATTCCTCGGTCCATAAGCGAACATTCTCGCCAGGAATTTGCTGCTGGAATCCTGGGAAGCTCCAGGAGGAAACAATTCAGTTTTCGCAGGATGGCCGGCGTCTCGATTGTCCGTCATGTTTATTAAACCTGATCCGGATTGCGATGTGGAATGTTTCGGTACTTTTTACCACCTCTAAAACCGCGAGAACTGCTTCCCGTTCACATGGCGCCCATCGCATTTCACATTGTATTCGAGCGATAAAAATTAAACAAGTAATAACGAGGAAAAACCGTTAATTAAAAAAATTGTTTGTAATTTTTGTAACAAATTACTCGACACCTTTTTCAGTTAGTAGTGCGCGTTACAACCCCATCTTTGTGTATTCCAAGGTGGTCTTCGTGGACTACACACCCTCCCATACATTTGACATCAACGCAGAAAAAAATGCTATTGTATCAACACGCGCGTGTCCGATCGAGTTTTTTTGAGCAACTGGAAGGCTTGTTTTCTTTTTTCTCGCTCATTAACCCCATTACCCATATTTGGCCGCTACACGAGCGCGTTGTCGACCGGCAAATCGCGAACACATGTATTTACATTAATACGGTATGCAGAATGTCTCATAAATACGAGACATTCGCTGGTACGACGACGCCTACGCGATCATTAACATCGCGACTTTCAATGCTAAATAAATGTTTCTTCTCAAAACTTGCGTGTGATTGGAAATATTAACCGCTACATAAAACGAGTGACTCTTGAAGATTGATAATCGTTCTTTTTTTTTCTTCGTTCTAAGTATTTTTACAATCTCCTACGGTCTCCGAGAAAATTGTCCGGAGTGAAATACGCACACGCATAAATATAAATGATTATACCGCTTCTTCGTCTTGAGTCATTTACTCTCTTCTTCCTATCGATGGTCAATCGGTAGAAAGCGAGCATCGCTATCAGTACAGCGACGCCGATACCGAGTACATAGTATACGGTGATCGACAATCCGTGGCGCAGCGTGCGCGGTGTCCTGTTAATGAACAAAAATTCGCGAGCCTACTGGAGCATGGCGAGAGAGCAGCCCACGTGAGATATACATATACATATACATATATATGTATATATATATATATATATATATGTACGCAAATACGTTTACACTCGCAGGCTGTATAGCAGCCGTGTCTGATAGCGCGTTGCTCCGATCGACGGCACAGCGGTTTGTCTGCTGCACGCAGGCCGGGTCAAGTAATTCCAGTTCTCTCTTTCAGTTGTTGGGACTCCGTCATGCAGAGGAACTTTATGTAGGTAAATATAAGTTGCGCGAGAGCGGCCAGCCGGCCGAGTAAAAGGGAAAGAGACGTGCGGCTTTCGTGGATAAGTGGCTTTCGAAGAACCACCTGTGGCACGTGCCATTAACGTGCTCCCTTGCGTGTCCGTACGTGCGCGAATGTCTCGATATCCCGCGCTATCGCGTGGGTGTAACAGGTGAGCACGGGTATACTGTTTTCTTTGCGAACGGACCTCTCTTCTAATACACGGCAATCTTGAGATGTGTTATATATTAGCGCGCGCGCACGCGCACACACACACACAGAGACGACGAGAGAGGAAACGAAAGCAAAAAAAAAGAGTGGGAGTCCGTACAGAATTAAAAAGTTGCACGGTGTTTCCAGAGAGCAGTGTCTTGTAATCACTTCTCTTTTATTGCGATCACTGAATGTTTCCATTGAAAAAAAAAAAAAAAAAAAAAAGTTTCCAACAGCGTTTCACACATTTCTTTTTTTATAGTTTTTCTGAGAACTCAACTGCAATATATTCGACACGTTCCATTAAGCGCGTCTTTCGCGCAAAGCAGATTTTACATTTTCACTTATATCTGAATACGCCAAGCTTTATCATTTTAATGAAACATTCGCGCGTGCGAGACTACGGAGAACTGTCTTCAGGAAATGTCCAAGAAACAGCTGTAAAGTGTAGCAACGTATCGCCGCGTGTATTCCTCT